ATGAAAAAGTTTCAAGTAAAGCAGAGATGAACAAGCAGAAGTCCCCTGATGATTTTAGATTGAATAACCCATGCTAAATCTTCTGTTACACAGTACAGACAGTATTTTCTCTTTCTACCTTCTTGCTTTCACCTTTTCTATTATTTTTTTTATATATTTGTCAGAGCCTGAATGCAAACCCACTGGACGACGACTACATGTCTCACGTTTCCTACATGTTCAGCTTCCTGCGTGTTAAATGGCTAAAGGTCAGTGGTTGTGTAAAGGAACAGGAACACCGACAGAAACAGATGTACTCGCTGTTTGTTCTTTTAACAAGTCATTCGTCCTCCTCTGTCTCTTGCCTCCAAACAGATATGGGCTCAGGAAATCTCTCAGGTGAGTTCGCACTTATCTTTCAGTACACACAGCCTCTCAAATAATCCTCACGCTGTGTCTCAGCGACACTAACAGTGAGCAGTTATACAAATGATTATGGCTCTGTTGTTAACACAGACAATAGCTCCTTCCTATTGTTTTCTATTGTTCTTTTAGATTTGAGCTGTCCAAGCATTTCAAATGGGATTTTGTTTCTGCTGATTGGAAATTTTTAGAAACAAAGCTGGTAATGTGAAGGCATGCGTTTGTGTGTGTGTGTTTCCATGTGTAGGCAGAGATGGAGCTGAGGATCTGTCAGAGTCTTTTCGATCGACAGTCAGAAATTACAAGACGGGTTCTGGAAGGAATCAGCAGCACTCATGTATGTGCACACGTACACACACTCCTACACACTGTGACAGATTGAAAATTAGATTCTGTCATATCTCTCGGGCTTGGTTAGGTGTGTGACTCGCTATATTGGTTGCTTTTTTTTCTGCAAGAATTGTAGCATGGAGGATAGTAAAACTGCAGTCTTCAAAAATTAACTAAATAAAAAGATGTTAGTTTGTCTAATTTGTGTTTGTTTTATGGTTGTTTAAGGAGCTTTTGCTTGTTTAAAATGCTCTGAATGTTTTTTTTTGGATGTAATCGCTTTATGTCGTTTCTTCCTCTGTGTGTTCTGTTTCTTCCAGACCAACCACATGCGCAGCCTTTCTGATTTTGTAGATGCTCAGGCCTGTTACTTTGCTCAGTGCAACCGACATGCTCAGGAGCTGCAAAAACAGCTGGCCAGGTCAGTATAATCTCATTTACAGCTGAGTGGCAGTGCTTCTTTGTGTTATTTGGAAATACTATCGTAGGTTTCAATATTTTTATGCCTTAAGCTGCTCATTTTAATTGAGATTTTTCACGTTTTTCCACACCGATACATCTCATTGCCGTCTAATGAACCGTGTATTTCCAATTTCAGTGGTCTTTCTGCTTCTTAATCTACATAAGCAGTCAAGTGAAAAACACTGACGTTATCTAATAAATTCAACTTTAAACGGAACTGTTGCGCATGAAATATTTGAAAATATGTGGTTTTCACAGGATACCGACCAAGTTCACTTTCAGCGAGCCTTCATTAGGTAAGGCTCACTGAAACAGGAAGGTGTTTATAAAACCAAAGGCCAACATACACTTTTTGTAGTGCGACATGGCATCCAATACATCTTTTTTTTGCTTTTATTTGAAGCTGTAATTAATTTGGCAACAGATTTGTGCTAGCAGGAAGATGCCCAGCTTAACTACAAAGATGTTTTTGTAGGAGAAACTCAGGACATCTGGTCTCACAAAGAAAACAAGACTGCTGAGAATACTTTATGATTTGAATATGAATGTTTCATATTTTACGATTTCGTTCCTCCTTCCAGCATTCCTGCGGTCCTCTGCTCCAATAACTGGCAGTCAGCAATTAATAATGCAGCTAATGAGCCATCAACGAGCAACCATGTAGCTAATGAGCCCGTCGGGTTGAATCAGGTCACTCCGATGCCTGTAGTCGTCCACCAACTTCCAGACTTTGACCAGGACTCTTGGACTGTAAATTCACCGTCCAAAACAGAAAAAAACACGAGGGATTCCTCTTTAACCGCACTGCCAACTGACCAGCTGAACAACAACAATAACAACAACACCTTCTCCACCTATGGCCAGACATCAGAGATCAGCGGCCAGTCGTCTGACCTTCTTTGTACATCGAATCAAACACATCCCCTCCAACCAGCCAGCAAGACGGACGCAGCTTCTTCCCAAACACTGACATTCAGTGCTTCAGCAACCAGTGGTGCAGGTAGCGTGACAACAACAGCAGCTTTGCCACCATCACAACCCACCTCAAGCGAGCCTCAGACAGCAAATGCAGTAACTGTTGAGAGTGTGGCAGCCAATGGCGCGGCTGCTGATCCCCAAACAGCCAGTGAAACTAAGGAGCAGCCTATCATTAAAGAAGAAGATGTCCAGGAGCCATCATCAGACGGCCAGGATGTGCTTCAGTAGAGACAAGTGACAACGTCGACGCAGCTTCAGCTAATGTGGAAATCGGTGTTACTAACCCAAGAATACAGACTGTATTAGGAAGCAACACAATCATAATAACATGTTACGGTTAAACAGTTTAATTAATCCCGTAGGACAGATAATGTGAAGTGGTTGTAAAAGTGCTTATTTTTCTAACCGTGTTATAGTGCCACAATAATTTTAGCCTTTAGTAATATTCATATATTATTCATGTTGTATAAAAAAAACGATGACTGTTGAGTATCAGTCTTCACTTGTGGTAGTAGATGTAAGGTCTGCTCTGTGCGTTAACATTTCCCGGCTTCCGGGCCGGAAGACGAGGCTGACTGACTGTTATATAGTTGCAATGTAAAGCTGTTTTCAGTTAGTATTTGTGAAACTAACGAAAATTCTTTATTTTTACATTTAGCTAAAAGAGCGAACTAATCAAAGCATTGTGCCAAGTGTATGTGTGCATATCCGTCGGTGTGAGTACATGAATTGACATGTGAGCGTCCCGGTCCACGTCTGTCAGTGACCCATGTGCGCTTGTGTTTACAGCCAACCCCAAACCTGTGACACCTTTAAAAAGAAGTGCGGGCACATGTTGTGACTCTGCCACCTCTTGACTCATGTTTCTATAAGGTGAGGTCATTTTCCATACTAAACACTGGGTCACTTCTCTTTATGTGTGTGTGCTGGAGCGCCCAGGGAGGTGACAGCACACCGGCTTGAACGGGACCTTTATGCTTCCTTGTATGCACTCTGGGTGTTTCCCCATGCATACGCTCACATTCACATACTGATTTTTTTTTTTTTTTTTATCCTTTTACCCCCTTCAAGCCCCCATTAGGTGAAATGGGTAGAAGTTTCCACATCCAGATGTTGTTAATTTTCTTCACGAGGGCAGCCCTGCTCCACTGTGATGTGGGTGCACTCTGGGGACCCAAGATGGAAACACACACATTAATGCAGCATACTGATGTAATGACCCACCAGCGCTATATGTTTATATCCCAAAGATGTGTGCGGGTTTGGATCGCTGCAGTATTCACATTCTCACCGCTGCCAGTTTTTACATGTAGTCATGGTTCAGTCACGTGTCGTTGAGCTGATGTCAGCGCGAGGTCGGCGTTTTTCACTCGATTCATGTGAAGATGTGGAAATAAATATGCAAACAGTGATGTCATGCCAATAAGAAATTCAAGTGTGGGCTCTATCTTTGTTCTTCAGTGTTTCTGTTGTTTCCTCGTTAAACTCTGTGCATTCCCGTACCAGCCAGATCTCCTGACTTAGATTTACACACAATTAATCCCAGGTTGAGATCTCCATCAGGCTTCCCGGGCCAAGTCTAGTAATGTTTCACATCTCTAAAGAAAACATCCTGACATACAATGAAGCCTGCGGTTAAAGCTTCACTTTTATTAATGCTATTAACCACATAACACAATAACGAGGCCTGTTTGGGTATGACATGTACCACAAGCTTTCAACACACGGAAATATTATGACAACAACACTGATGGAAGCGTGTGCAGATCTCCTACGTTTTGCTCCCACTTCACCTCTTTCCCGTCTGGAGCTGCCCAAACAGATTAGATCGATTAAACGCAGGTTGTGTCATATTGATCCGAGTGCAGTCGGGAGGCCTGTGGTTCAGTAACACCATAAACACTGATATGACACCACTTTATCAGCTCGGCATTTTTAGAGGGGCGGCGGTGCAGCCAGCGCTTCAAGACAGATTAAATAGTGTTACCTTCCTGCTACTTCTTTTCCTATGACTCACTAAACAAATCTGTCCCCGGCTGCTCGTCAACGTTCTTCTGCTGCATTTACACGCCAAGTTCCTGTTACATTTCCAACTTATCTTCGTATTTACAGTTTGCACCCCGTCTGTGAGCAGATATCACGGCTCTCACTGGTCTTCGCATGATGGTCTTATTTCAGACAGGAAGGAAGGGAAAGCTAGAATAATGTTATGCAGGTCTGGTTGGGATTAGTAAGTTATGAAAGCAGATACAGGAATTTCTAATTATATTTGCTGCATTACTTCGCTCCATCTGGGGGCTCAGGTGGATAATGGATAGGTAATATATACGTTTTTTTTCTTGTTTTTTGATTTAACCCGTGTTTTATGAGGAAAGTTCCTTTAAGTTAGGAAACCCAATTTCCAAGTCAACTTTTAGATGATGCAAAAACTGGTCACTGTTATTAACATGAGGTTGCTGTTACAAATTTAAATGTTAATTAATATGAGGATTAAGATGATACAATATTATTTAGAATGCAAATATGATCAACCTAACAATTTTAAATACTAGGGTGAAGACTGTAGTTGTATTTATGGTGTGATTTCACCTGGGAAATGAACATACTGGTGATTAAACTCTACATAAATTGCAAAATTACAACTTT